GGGGGGGGGATTCAAACTGCAAAATTTCCTTAGCCAGAGAATATATGAAAACAAATCCTTCAGTGTCAAATTTTGTAAAAGTTAAAGGAAACTTTCACTCCCTGTTCTCTGTTTTGTAGATTGATTTTGTAATACAGTTTTTACTGTAGATTGATTGTGCAATACAGTTTTTACTGTAGATTGATTGTGCAATACAGTTTTTACTGTAGATTGATTGTGCAATACAGTTTTTACTGTAGATTGATTGTGCAATACAGTTTTTACTGTAGATTGATTGTGCAATACAGTTTTTGCTGTAGATTGATTGTGCAATACAGTTTTTACTGTAGATTGATTGTGCAATACAGTTTTTACTGAGCGCGATGCAAGACAAGCAGAAAAAATACATCAAACACGCGGATCAGTTTCAGCGGATCTCAGAGACGCTCTCCATTCTTAACAGGGTCAAGGACAGCATGGCCCCAAAACCATAAACTGAGAACAGACGTAAGTCAAAATTTCAAACCAATTTAACTTCCGAAATAATTTCGAAAATAAAATAAAATTTTCCATATATGTTTGAATTGAAGTCGTTTGCACAGTTGTAAACTTTTAAGCTAATACGTCGAATGGAACCCAATATATTAAAAATAAAAATTTTGACTTAAGTCTATTCTCAGTTTATGGTTTTGTGCCTGGTCCCCAAGATGGAGCGCTTGCACCGGATGCTGCCACCGAAGAACCGACTGGAACCGCTGAGTCTGAAGAGCCAGTTGTTAGAACCAGATGTTACCACCGAAGGACCGACTGGAACCGCTGAGTCTGAAGAGCCAGTTGTTAGAACCAGATGTCACCACCAGAGGCGCTGGCACCAAAAAGGCCCCAAGTGTTGAGTATAGGTCAAACGTTGCATCTCTCCATCGCCAAGGAGTGGATTTTTGCTTTGCTAAAGTGAGCTTTCTCTTGGGTTAAGGGGATTCAAGTTTGCTTATAAAATTTTTTTTCAAGTCTATTGAAGATAATTACAGTCAAACCTCAATATCTCGATCCTGATGGGACTGAGAAAAATTCAAGATATCCAAAGAATTAAGAAATATGTGGTCTGGTCAGGAGTTGTCCATCATTTCAACATTTCATGGTAGTCCAGATATCTTTGTTTGAGATTCATGTACCAAAGTTCAACCTCATAAGTGAAAATCAATGAAAATTTGATCAATGAATAGAAAATGCAGGCCCGTAGAAAAAAAGAAATACTAGAAACTGTCAGAACTCTGAAATCCTAAAAATTCTATTTTGGAGTAGGGTTCCCAAATTGTTTTTGTTTATTTTTCTATTCTTTCAAATGCTCGAACTCCCCTTTGTTTGACTGCACAACTGTTACAACTGTTACAACAAAAAGTGGGTTTAAATGGGGGGGGGGGGGGGAGGTAGCATCCACATCAAACTTGTAAATACTTTTGAAAAGAACACCAATAAACTATTTTCGGGACAAAAGAAAACTTCGTTTTTATTTTTACATCATATGAATTTTTCCAAAAAAAACTGAAATCATTTTAGTTGTAAGGAATCCATACTTTCAATACAATCGTTTCAAATATTTAACGTGTCGATACTAGAAAAAAAAGTCATATACCAGCATCAATAGGTTCACATAGCAGTTATCTGAAGAACTTTAGTACTTCTGGATTGAATAAGTTTTATATTCTTTCATACGATTTACTGATTAAATTCAGGAATGACACACAAGAATGACTTTCTATATCAATTTATTTGAAAATTATATATTCACATGCAAGAAAACCATTTGATTTGAATGGATAATTGGGTGCATATAGAATTGCTCATTTAAATATAAACATGGAACATACCTAATTTGAAATTTGGTTTAAAGTTTCTGTTAAATACCAGTATAAATCATTTAGGCATGACAGATGTTTTAAGGGAAAATAGTGAATTGAATGCGAATTATATACTTAATGGTCTCACTGAGATATTATTTAACATAAAAAATGATTAAATGTGAATTCGCTGTAGTATTGCATGTCTGAGAAATGTTCTCGTAAATTAGACCTTTGATTTTGATTCAGATATGTTACGGTAAACCTCATTCAGAATTAGAATGATATGGGGAGAATTAATTTTCATTTCAGAAATCAAACGCAGTAATGTAAATTAAAGGCAATTCAGAATTTTAAACTTTTGGAGTTTTTTCTGGTGGCCCCCATGACAAAGCAGCTTACTCTTTGTCGACAAGCAGAAGAACAATCTTGACACAAACCACATTTATCTTACTCTTTTTCGACAAGCAGAAGAACAATCTTGACACAAACCACATTTCAACGTTCCATCTTAAGGAATATTACAACAGTTCAATTCAATACACAAAAAATCAATATTCTAATTATATATATGCATCTTAAACATACTGTAAATATAGGTTTCTTGTAAGTATTATTCAATTGAAATAGGACTAATATTTGAAAAAGGTCACGCGTTGTTTGTACATTGTCAAAAAGTCTTTCTCGAACAGGTGAAAAAAATCAGTGCATTCTAAAACAATATATTGTATTGATTGATTTCACTCATAAAGACACCTCACCATTTACCGGTGAAGAGCATGAAATTTTATCATTTAATCGGCATTCATCGAGAAGTGAGGGATCTTCATCCTGCCAACCCCTGCCGAGCACGTGGCCTCGGTTTTTAAGGTTTCAGTCAAAGGATTCACAACTTTCGCTTCAAAGTGCCAAGCGTATGGCAAAGAAACCTTTTTTTATCAACTTAGGTCAGTCGTGGCCTACATTCCAACTCACGACCTACTGAACAAGGAGCGAGCGCTATACCGACTGAGCTACTGTGACGGTTGAGTATGGTGTATTCAAAGTATGACGAACTTGCATACTCACAGGATATGCATTCAGTTTGATGTTCCCGTTCAGTAAATACAAGAAACATATATTGACGCAAGCGTCAAAAATGGGCCGCAAACCAATTAATTGTTCCTTTTATGAAGCAACTAAAGACTTAAATATAGTAAATATCTATTTATATATCAGCAATTATGTTAATCAAAACACAACTAAATATTTTTTTCTTAACAAAATATCTGAAAAAAAAACGTAAACATTTCATTCAATACTTACATTTTTGTCAATGATTTTCATATCTTAGTGGATCTTCTTTTCTGTATATCCTTGGTTCTGTTATTATTTCATTTCAACTATAAAGAAACCGATGGAATAAAGGGGTTGTACAAATAAATGCCACTGAAAACAGAATGTAATTTTGAAATGCTATCATAGGAATCAATTATTCATTTGATTATTAATTGAACTGATAAAGTATACCCAAGTCAATGTTGAATCTAAATTGGTCATCTGATTTGACAGTCACCGTGATAAAGGCACAAAATGTAAACTGCATGGTATAACAAACAAAAATTCCATATTTCAAGGCCATACAATAAATAAAGTAAAAACTTGATATGATAATTTTCTATAAATCTTGTAGTTCCTGGAAAAATCTGCTGTTTGAAATCGCTTTTTATTAGTTTAAATTTCCTTCCATTGTTCTCAGTTAAAAATACATAGGATCTTCACCAAATATGTTATCAATTATTAAAGGAATACATTCTATTACACGAAAGCGGCAGGAATTTTCAAGTCAAGTATGTTTCATTTATCTTAAATTTAAAAAAAAGGATCAGATCATTTTATTAAATACCTTTGCCAAAATACGACTGAAAGAGACAAATCAATATATAACATGCAAATCAATACATGAAACACGGTAGAATTTATTCAATATGATTTCTCATTATTGCATAAATAATTCCAGCAATGAATAAAAGTTGTTCTTTTTGTAATGAGGGTTTATTTAACATTTGCAAATAGTATTCTGCTAGATAATAAAATGCATTTTTCTCATTAAAAACAATAACTTGATCCACCTCTTGCAAGACTAAAATGTGTCAGAATTAACATTGATGACGTCATGTTGACTTGTGTATTGCGATTAACAACTTGTCAACTGATCTGTAGTTATTTTTTCGTAATACATTCAAATGGTTAAAACATATCTTTTTAAAAAAAAAAAATCTTGTATTATATGGAATAGTTATTTTTGCTTGATTTCACGGTAAACATATCCCGTTTGCATTAGGCCAAGCTTTCTTTTTGCAGCCTTAAAACTGCTGCATATTGTGCAATTTTTACCAATTATGCTACTGAATATTAATGTTCATGTTGATGTAAAAATACCACATCTAAATTGTATGGTATATGAATTAATTTTAATTTATATCCATTTAATTTATAATATCTATCTGATTTGTGCTATTTGCTGTAGTACTGTACTTAATGCCACTCTCCTGGTCAAAACAGCTCAAGATTTAAGTGAATTGAAATCGTTTTCAATTATATCTTACATACTGTATTATACTGGTAGTTCAGCGAAATGAGGGCACAGTATTCACTATGATATTCTTTGGAAAGCCTTTACCTAACTCTAAAGTTAATCAAAAACTTAATACATTTTACATGTCTTGTATTATGTATCAATTCCGTTAGAAACATAGAAGATCCGATCAATGACAAGGTAGATAAATGTGCATTCATATTGTTGAAACATTTGTTTATGATGTTATTATCTGCAATTTACTTTTTAGTTTTTCATGCTATTTGTTGGAAAATTTCTGAAGTTTCTTAAGAGGCTTTGATTTTTTTTTCCTTAACCTTCACACCTTTTTACTTTTTCGAAAATCCGTTTTTTTAAGTATCTTTGTTTGTAAGAATTTTTGGAGTATTGGATTCAAGGTGGTATGCTAATTCAAATTCCATTGTGTTGTTGAATTCAAAAAAGTTTTTTGTCATACTGATTAAAATAAAAGGAATTGTATTTTTGCAAATAAAATCCACCAAAATAGAAAGGCCAATATTTCGTCAAGCATTCCCGACGTCATATTAACCAAATATATCATACCTAAATTTAGGACATGGAGACAAGGTGGTCAATTAAAACAATTAGATACAAAGCTTTTTTTATTCAATTCAAAAGAATATAATACAATAAGTGACAAGCATTTTGTTTCGAAACAGAAATAGTTTCTTATTTTAACTAAATGAGAAGCAGAAGTAAAATGTTTTTATTGACAGGGAACAGTCCTATTTTTGTCTTGTCCTTGTCATTGCTCTGACGACCTTGAATCAGGCAGATTTGCCCTTCACAGTCACACGTGTATGAGTTTTATCTTGATGCTTTTCAATTGTAAAGTTTACACCCCTCTTTCCTATGAACGCCTCGTTCTCAATTTGGACTTTTACGTCACTGTAGATATCTTCGATTTCCTCCGATTGCCCTGGAAGGATCTTTTTACTGATATTTTTGTTGTCATCGTCACTCCAGGTTATTATTATGATGGAATCACTGGTGTTGGTAACAATGACACTATTTGAACAGCCCATACTGAAAGTAAATAAACTGATACATATAGTATACCCTTATACCTCTTTATTTATTTCTCTATATTTTTTTTAAATGACGATGTATTAAACTTAAAATCAAAATCAAAGTGTAATCATTTCGTTTTAAAAGAGTCCTATACAAAATGTTTGTTTGAAAATGCCACCATTGTTATACTTGTTTTACTTTTTTAAGCAAAACTATTTTTTTCTTTCATTCAGTTCCTCAATAAATGACCGTTTGGATTCCTATTAAATTTGTTGTGTGAGTGCTTAAGTTAAATTAATGTAATGGGAGGTCGTATAACGCAAAACAGCGCATCACCCTATCACTTATATATTTATGAATAATTTTTTATAAGAAGATAACAAATTTATTATTCTCTGTTTTTCTTCAGTTTTATTTATGAAATGATTTTAATGTAAAATGGATTTTAATGAAATATTAAACGTCCCACAGCTGGATATCTATATACCAAAACATTTGTTAATGCAAAGCATTATAATTGAGACGAGAGAATACACCAAGTAATTCTTCATAGAATTAAATAAAGCACCGAAATTAATTGAAATTACAATTTATTTCATTCAAAATAAAATAAATCTACGGCATAAAAAGTCATTGATCTATTCAAGTGAAAATTAATTGTCAGTAAAAAGAGACAAAATTTCTCGAGCTAATAAAGATTAATTACAGAGTTTGTTAAGAATGGGGGAAAGAAAAGAATACGCCATCCAAATTTGTTTCGAAAAAAATTAATCGCTTGTAATAAGCCATAAAATAGCAGTATAAAACTAATAAAGTATATATCAGAACTTTATTTTCATACTGAAAATAAATAAACTGTATGAACTAACTGATAATTGTAATACATAATTTCATTTCTTTTGAAATTAAGATTTTTTTTAATTGGACAGTTTCAGGTTCATTTCATAAACCAAGACCCTGTGGTACGTTAATTAAACGTTGGTCCAATAAAAAAAACCCTCTGCACAACTCTAATAGCATGTGTTTAATGAAACTGAAGTATATGTACATAGAGCACTAAATATTAAGTTTCTTGTCCTGGAAACAACAAATATTGTACATCAACCTGTCATGCTTAAAATTGTTATTTTCATTTTAGATTCAGAAGGTTGGCCGTCTTTGAAAATGATGGAAAGCGATTGATTATATTTTTGCTGTTGTATTTCAGACATATTATTTTAATTTCAAACGCAAGAAAAAAATGTTTGTATTGATTATATTTTTGCTGTTGTATTTCATACACTTTTGAAATACAAGAAAGGAAATGTTTGCATTGATTATATTTTAGCAATGCTTGGTCATCATCAGATTTTTTTGGTGAAATCAAAGAAATCAAGAAAGTTAAAAATTAATTTGCATTTTAACAAAGAGTTGTGTAAATAATAATAAATGACTAAAACACATGAATTCTGTTGGTGCACTTGACATGTTGACAAAAATATTATTGTAAATGGTATAGACCGTCTCAATAGCACAAAACCTGAAAAATCAAGTAAATATCTTCTAGCGATGCTGGCACTTTGTTGCAAAAAACTCAAATACCTTACCTTTCAAAAAGTTGTCTACTCAAAGCAACAAACTGAACAATTTCACGATTCAGCAGCCTATGCACAAATAGCTAATATATTTTATTATGTGCTCATTTAAATAGATTTCTTCCAATTGACAACTACACCACGTGGCTTCTTTTGCATAATGGGCAAATATAACGATGAGAGAGAACTAAATCACTTTTTATTTGTGACCAGTTTTACAAAAGAAATTAAGACTAAATCCAAAAAAAAAAAAATGATTTGTTCTGTTTAAAATTATCTAACTTCATACCTTTTAAAAATATAAAATCAATATTTGATATAATTTAAACTAGAACATTACAAGCAGAATAAAGTTTTTGTCTAAGTTATAAATTCTTTAAAAATTTTTAAAACGGGTCCCAGTGTTTCTTCTCTGCTTTAAATTTATTTTTTTTTATTAAAAGACTGGTAAAATGAAGCTGTGCTTGGATGTCATAAATGACGCAAATGTGGCTCACAATGGCATTTCTTAAAAAAATGAAATACACATAATTTTCTCATTAAAGAAAACAAACTGAACAAATGTCACTGTTCTGTTAAGTGTACTTATGACAAACCGAAAAATTAAAACACACTCACCAATATCACTTTTCCACCTTTGGCTCTTTAGACAGGTACTCAAATCATTTTGGCTTTATTTTTTTTCAATTATATATACTTTTTGGGTTTTTAAAATTGTTTTTGGCCCACACTAAAAATTTAAAATGTTCCTGGGTCTGATCAATCAGTGAATTATTTATGCTTAAAGTTATCGTTTTAAAAATTTTCTCTTTCTAGGTTATGCTTAGACGACTTTCAAAATAATTTTTCATGATACTGAACATTGTATGTCCAATTGTGCAAAGCTTGAAATTGCAAAATTTCACTGAAATCAATTACATAAAAACTTTAAACTTTTCAATTGTTTATACAAAAATTTCTCACCATAAATTAAAATCCAGGCTTTTTGATATCTCTGACAGTTGCTTGTTCAATTTAAATGGAAGTCATCAATTTACTTCCCTTCAAAATAGCAAATTGCAAAATAATTTTGTTAAAAAACATTCTAATAGTACAAACAAGTAATCTGAAGTTGATATTTAAAGGAAACTGGAGTTTCTGATTGGCAAATTTTTGTGTGTGTGTTTCTTTTTTGTACTTGGAGACCAAATCTTACAACAATCCGTTGCAAACCCCATAATGCTTGGTTGTTAAATTATTGTTAACGTCTTTTTCAAGTAAAATATCCAAGTATGAAACAAACCGAGTAATGACAAGGAACACATGGATAGCATGAATTGATCCAGGCAAAGTGAACGTAAATAGCCATAGAAACATAGGCATAACGACACTGTCATTATCATACCCGCACTCAATCAATGCCTACCTGTTTCACATAATTACGCGTTACGCAATAATTCGTATCATTTACCAATCACTAGAACAGTTGCATACTACAATAGTTTTTTACCATCTACAATGAAATTATGGAATGATTTGCCAGATAGCTTAAAAGCTGTAACAAGTGTAGCAAAGTTTAAACAGTGTATGCAAAATAAAAATCTTGAAGACAAAACAAAATCTAAATTATACAATTATGGACAAAGAAAATTAAATATACTCCACTGTCAGTTGAGAAACTTCTCTAGTAATCTTAATGCTGACTTGTTTAATCATAATTTAGTTTATTCACCTAAATGCTTAAAATATGGAAATTGTTTTGAAGACTCTGTTCATTTTTTCTTTCAATGCCCATGTTATGATTTTGCCAGGAACATTTTAATTACATACATGAGTGACCATGACATGCCAAGAGATGTCAATATTGTATTGTCAAGTTATGATTGCCTATCACTTTGAGAAAATATGTTATTCTTTGACCAAGTTCATAATTTTATAAAAAAAAAACACTTAAAGATTTTAGTCTAAGCCTTCCTCTCCATATTCTTATTACTTAATTTTTTTGTTTGTTTGTTTCTTTCCATCATTTTTTTTTCTTTTTCTTTTCTTTTAAATTTATGTTATTGTTTTCTTTATGCATTTTTTCTCCTCAATTTTTCTTCAACCATGTATTCTTTATAATTCTCTTAATATTACTTTATAATACATGTTTTGTTGAACTTAAAATGTGTACAGTAATTTAATTATACCATGTGTACCTTGATCTCAAATGGAGAGAACTAATATAGGCCCTTGGCCTGCTGTTCAATCCATATTCATATTGTACTCTATGTATATTATGAATAAAATACTTCTTAAACTATACCCCCACTTTCTAAAGAAAGTTCGGGTATATTGTTAAGTTGTTACTCATGTCCGTCCGTCTGTCCGTCACACTTTTCACCCTGAACACCTCTTACATTTGACTCAGTAGCCTAATCATCTTTTGGGAGATGGTTGGTGGTGTCATGTAGATATGCAGTAAGGTTTCGAAATTTCGATTTTGCCCCGGCGGGGTCAAATTGGGGTCGAAAATGACATTTTTATGCAAAAAGCCCAATCTTCCCTGAACCCCTCTTACATTGACTCAGTAGCCTAATCATCTTTTTGGAGTGGTTTTTGGTGTCATGTAGATGTGCAGTAAGGTTTCGGAATTTTCATTTTTTAGTGGGGATCAAATTGGGGTCGAAAAATGACGTTTTTTATGCAAAAAAGCCCCGTCTCCCCTGAACTCCTCTTACATTTTACTCAATAGCCTAATCATCTTTTGGAAGTTTGTTGGTTGTGTAATATAGACGTGCAGTAAGGTTTCGAAATTTCGATTTTGCCCCGGGGGGTCAAATAGGGGTAAAAAAATGACGTTTTTTATCCAAAAAGCCCCGTCTTCCCTGAACTCCTCTTACATTTGACTCAGTAGTTAATCACCTTTTGGGAGATGGTTTTTGGTGTCATGTAGAGGTGCAGTAAGGTTTTGAAATTTTGATTTTGCCCCAGGGGGTCAAATGGTGGTCGAAAAATGACGTTTTTTTGCAAAAAGCCCCGTCTTTCTGAACTCCTCTTACATTTTACTTAGTAGCCTAATCATCTTTTTGGAGTGGTTTTTGGTGTCATGTAGATGTGCAGTAAGGTTTCGGAATTTTCATTTTTTAGTGGGGATCAAATGGGGGTCGAAAAATGACGTTTTTTATGCAAAAAAGCCCCGTCTCCCCTGAACTCCTCTTACATTTTACTCAATAGCTTAATCATCTTTTGGAAGTTTGTTGGTTGTGTAATATAGACGTGCAGTAAGGTTTCGAAATTTCGATTTTGCCCCGGGGGGTCAAATAAGGGTAAAAAAAAATGACGTTTTTTATCCAAAAAGCCCCGTCTTCCCTGAACTCCTCTTACATTTGACTCAGTAGTTAATCACCTTTTGGGAGATGGTTTTTGGTGTCATGTAGAGGTGCAGTAAGGTTTTGAAATTTTGATTTTGCCCCGGGGGTCAAATGGGGGTCGAAAAATGACGTTTTTTTGCAAAAAGCCCCGTCTTTCTGAACTCCTCTTACATTTTACTTAGTAGCCTAATCATCTTTTTGGAGATGGTTGGTGGTGTCATATAGAGGTGTAGTAAGGCTTCGGAATTTTATTTTGCCCGAGGGGTCAATAGAGGTAGAAATTTGTTTTGTTTTCTTTTTTAAATTTGATATGTTTAATCACCCTGCTTTCAAGAATTTCCCTAATATTTTATGCATTAGCTTTAAACCATGATCATATATGAGAAAATAGATTAAAAAGTTTCAATTATGGGCAAACAATTTATATCCACCTTTTATCAAACCTAATTTACATTATAAATTAAATTCTGTTGTTTAATTTCAGACTGGTAATGAATTAAGAATATGAAATACCTATAAGATCAAGGTCCATGGGTCACATGGTCACCTGAGCATATTATGCTCAATTTGATGAATACATATACATGTATTATGTAAATTATTGAATTATATTGACATTTTTCTTGGTAAAGCCTAGTATGAAGGAGTGTGCATTTAGAGGCAAACACCTTAGTGCGTGTATTACTCTCTCGTGACATCATCTAGTTATATTCTTTTCTCACTTTTCCATCCCTTAAAATAGTGCGCACTATCTGCGACCTTGAAAGACCCATATTTCTTACAAAATTATTAAGTTAGATCAACAAAATCAAACCATTCTGACTTTTTTTTTCTTAAGAAGTATTTTGATAAAACAAAGATTTATAGAGAACCATTAATTTTAACAGAAACGTCATTGTCTACGAACCTTTTGGAAAATCTTGGTATGCTTAAGTCAAATTTCCTACAAAGAGTATGTTCTTACGCTAAACCAGTTAATGATAAAACAAAAATCCAAAATGTTTGCAATCAATACAATTTTGTATTGTTATTTCTTTCTTGTGAATAGTCAGGCTAACATTTCTCTAACTGCAAAACTTCTTAAGTGTAGAAATAAGCATCAGAAATGGTATTATCACAAGAGAAAAGTTTCAATATGGAATTACTCAGATGATTTCAGACTTAACAATCATATGAATATCACAGAGTAACATTCCACATAACGTAAAGTTCGATTATTTCAAGATCAAATTTAAAAATTGTGACATACTTTTATATATGTGATATATGTGTCATACATATTAGACAGAGTAACATTCCTCCTACCTTAAAATTGTTTATATCCAGACTTTATTTCAACATTGAAGTACATTAGTGCTGTGAGATCCTGCAACAAAAATAGAAATTGCAAAGAGTAGCTTTCCTTTAAACAATTACTATATAATAAAACACTTTATGACCTAACTGTTCTATGAAAGACAGAGTAACAGTTCTTTTACCTTTATATTGTTTATAAAAAATCACTGTAAATATTATTGTATAATTTGTATGCTTCATGACATTATAGTTAAAGAATTACAAACCTGTAAAATTGTGTTGTGTTTAGAAATATAAGATTTCCATTGAATAGAAATATAACGTATCCTTTTCTTCCAGGCGAGACAAAAGAAATATGTAAATACAATGGTTAGTTACAATGAATTCAACATGTGTTGTTGAAAAATTATTCCAGGTACGTTTATCAAGGATCTTTCCTCCAATT